ATTTGTCATACACTGTAATAAAGTGGGCACGTCTTTAGTCGATTAGCGTAAGTTTACCACTCCAACGTACAAATAATTCACCACAAGTCTACTCATGTTTGGAGGAGCATTCGCGACTTTTGTACAGTAAAGGCGACGGCTTTTGGTTGACTGTTTTTAACAATTTACCAGCTGCTTTAGTCAAGATGGGTTTGGTTCAAGATATCTTGTTACTGCCGTGGTTTGCTGATGCTTATAGAATTAGACACAAAATCAGTAGTTTTGAGCGGTTTCTTGTGAAAGGTCGGTTCTGTGAAAGGTGATTGTTTCTGTCGAACAAGTTGTAATCATTTGCTATGTAAGAAACTGATTCAGCAAAAATCGTTCTTTATTGACTCAGATTAGGTATTGATCTTTACAAACGCTCTTGTGAATCGCAAACAATGAACTGGAGATTTCTTCGAGCAATAAAACGCCTCAACACGAATCATAAATTACGCACAATTGTAGAACACTACCGAATAAGTTCAAATATACAGCATTTTGGGCACCAGCCTGTGAATATTCCCGGAGTGATAATTTGTTATTTTGGTGCAGTAACAGGGAAGTTAAGGGCGTTATACCGCAGTGCTGATGTATTCTCGTCGATTGAGTACGCCAGCTGAAGAGTCACGGTCCACCTACGTGCAATTTTCTGGATAAATGTAAAATTCTGATTTCACTCAGCTTATGAACATAAATGGCGTTTTAACTCTTAATATTAGGAAACCTATGTTAACATTCGACTCAACAAATTAGTACTTCTTTCTGTTCCTGTTGCTTAACCGTATCGGCCGCATCACCAGCTTCGATAACAAAATGTGGTTTGACTGATGGAAAAAAATGAAGTCGATCGCAATAAAATCTACAAACGTATCCCAGGCGAGCTGCTGAGGGGTGAGATTGGTGTAAGAATGAGGGCCAGTTAATATAATGTTGCACTAGCAGATGACAAGAGCGCCTTTTGCTAAATGTCAGACTCCAAATGGAGGGAAAAGGTTTGGCCCATTGTTCTGACAACCCGATAAGCGCTTCCGTGCTAAACAGCATGTCTACAATGCGGCAATCTGTGCCGGATGCAGTTTCAGCTCCATCTTGGTTGGAATACTTGGCAGCCTAAACCTCTCATTTGAGAGTAGCTGACCGTGACAATGAAGAGGATTCACGCGCAGTGCCTTTGCGTACGCCAGATGTGTTTGGAGCACCATCGAGTTTCAGACTGTTTTTAAATCCATTTCGGTCTACTGGATAATCTATTGGCGATTGTCAAAAGATTGTTTTCCAGATCTCACAATTCAAAAGTCGCTCTCCACCAGCAAGAAATAGTTTCGGTGCCTTCATGAGTATGTACTAATTAAGCATCTTAAATAAACGCACCACTAACATCAGATTACTATATCATTCGTTTTAGCCCAAGCAATTCTATTTTACTTCCTGGAACTAAGATGCACACGGCCTAAAACCTTCGGCATCCCTTATAGAAAAGCCATCCAATTGTGTCTGTTGCCCCCCAAATGCATGAATCTAACATGCGTTCCGCACACTTCCTTAGAAATTCAAAAACATTCGAGAATAACCGCAACGACTGTTTACACACGTCCTTCACAGCATCTAGCTCTTGAAAATGTAAATGAATCTAACAGCAACTCCACTTTTTGATTTTACGAATTACTTCAGAATCCTATATCAGTTCATATTCGCCATCCAATTTTGGCAGTTAATTGACAGTTTTTCAAAGACTACAATTGGCGACCAAATACGGCCGTTGGAAATAGTAGTTTAAACATCTAAACGATTATTGGTTTATTCAGATTTCACGTGCCTCGACACGGTACAAACTTGGAGATGATAAAGTTTCCACTTACTCTCGGTAAGCAAACCAATTGCTGGCGGAAAATAGTAAAGAGATTAACAGAACTTTTGGACGTAAACTTTGTAAAATTGCGTGTAAAAATAATAAAAAAAATTATCTTATCTTATCTTAAACATGGGTTAACTGACGAGACCAATTTTTAATCTTAGGCAACCCGTTTT